CAGCAGATCTTTTTTAGTCAAAATAGGTATTTCCATCGAACAGAAATAGCTGAAATACAAAAAAAAACCACTTGTCAAAATCTCTCAATAGGTATGAGATATTATATAGTTCTCAATGTACACGTTCCAAATTCTTATTACCTGTGTGAAGATAGAAACGGCAGTTAGCAACGGAAAAAAGTGGTGAAGATAGAAACAATATTTAGCAACGGTAAAAAAATGAAATATATAAAACTAGGAATTTTTTTGTATAAATATTATGAACCTACTAATCAATTTTTTAGAGATGTGACTCCGAAGCGGTGCAAATAATTTATATGATACACTTCCCAGATCTCTGTCGGGGGTGGCAAACCGAATTTTTAAAATTGATACACTCTGTATTTTTTATATATTTTAATGTTCATAAAAATTGATGCTGTTCTCACTTTTTTAGAACTCCATCGGGGGCGGTGGAAACAATTTATAAATTTAGCATAAAATTATTACTCATTTACCGAGATAGAAAATACAGAAAAGTCTACTGTTTCTGAGATAATACACCCTGTATTTTTTATATGTAGTAGAGGAATGTATATAAAACTTCATGCCAATCTTGATTTTTTACGAACTCCATCTGGGGCGGTGGAAATAATTTATAAATTTAACGTAAACTTATTACATATTTACCAAGAATAGAAATACAGAAAAGTCTACCGTTTCTGAGTTGATACACCCTGTTTTTTTATATGTAGTAGGGGAATGTTTATAAAACTTGATGCCATTCTCAGTTTTCTTAGAGCTCCATCAGGGGCGGTGGAAATGATTCGTAAATTTAATATAAAATCATTACTCATCTACCGACAATAAAAATACAGAAAAGTCTACCGTTTCTGAGTTGATACACCCTGTATTTTTTATATGTAGTAGAGGAATGTTTATAAAACTTAATGCCATTCTTAATTTTCTCAAAACACCATCGGAGGCGGTGAAAATGATTTATAAATTTAACGTAAAATTATTACATATTTACCAAGAATAGAAATACAGAAAAGTCTACCGTTTCTGAGTTCATACACCCTGTATTTTTTATATGTAGTAGAGGAATGTTTATAAAACTTAATGCCATTCTTAATTTTCTCAAAACACCATCGGAGGCGGTGAAAATGATTTATAAATTTAACGTAAAATTATTACATATTTACCAAGAATAGAAATACAGAAAAGTCTACCGTTTCTGAGTTGATACACCATGTATTTTTTATATATAGTAAAGTAATGTTTCTAAAACTTAATGCTGTTTTCAATGTTTTCAGAACTCCATCCGGGGCGGTGGAAATAATTTATAAATTTAATGTAAAATTATTACTCATTTATCAAGATTAAAAATACAGAAAAGTCTACCGTTTCTAAACTGATACACCCTGTATTTTTTATATATAGTTGAGGAATGTTTATAAAGCTTGATGCCGCTCGCAATTTTCTCAGAACTCTATCAGGGGCTGTGGAAATAATAAAAAAATACAGGGTAGGGTGTATCAACTCAGAAACGGTAGACTTTTCTGTATTTCTATTCTCGGTAAATATGTAATAATTTTAGGTTAAATTTACGAATTATTTTCGCTTTAAGCAAACAAGATAACAAACTGATTGGGATAGGTATAAGGAATTAAGAGTTTCACTCTCTCCTCTATACGTTTCGTTTTATTGGAAAAATTAGGTATTTCAACTTCTTCCATTACCATTTTTATTGAATATTATTACGTACATGTAGTTTTTATCCTAATAATAAATATTTTTTTTTGTTATTAGTTTCTGTTGGTTGATAATGTGGATTAATAGGTCTCTGTTAGGCCTCCTGCGGATACAACAATAAAAAAATAATATTCTAAAGAAGTATGTTCGAAATGATTGTGACATTTAGTCCTAAATACTGACTGTAATTACATTGTTTTTGTAAATTATTTTTAAATGGAAACAGTGTGAATCTCAGTATGCACCTCTTAGGAAAAGTGTCTCAAATATCTAACCTACCCTTATATTTTTTATACCAGGCACTAACATTTTTGGAAATATTCATTCGCAGTATAATAATTATTTCCAAAAGGACTTCTCCAAAATCTATTAAATTGTTTCTTTAAATTCTTTGTGATACATTTCTTGAAAATTCACAGTAACCATCACCTTTTGTATTGAACACAATATCAAAGTAGCAACCTGTCGTCTCAAGTAGATCTTGCAATAATCATTTCGTTTAAAATCTCCTGATTTGAACACGTTTCGAAAACGTTTCACTACAATTGTAAATTTTTGTCAATCACCATCAATTCCAATTTTATCAAAGCTGTACAAAACTGTCATCAGTCCTATACCTACTTGAAAACAATTCATTGATTTGGTCACCCAATCGCATCATAGACATTAATCTCTTTGCAAAATATTTGGAAAATGGAATTCTTATCTTTAAACGACATATTTGGGAGACTGTAATTATCCGCTCTAAATCAGATTGCATCTGGTTAGAACTGTAGACGATGTAGCCTCCCCCACCTCGATGTTTTCAGATCTTTTGTGGATATTTTTTATTAATCATTGTTTAGAGCACCTTGTCTAGTTTGGAGACTAGACAGTTGTTTTTCGGCATAGTTTTTCTTCTCCAAATGTAAGGAATCTCACTATTGCTTGAACTGCACAGTAACACATTGTGTGCACTTCCTCTTCCTGATAGAATCGGCACAAGATCTTTTCTGCCAGGCTATGTTATATGCATGTTTGTTAAGCCTACAATGCTTTGTTAATAGGTCTATTAGTATTCTAATATTTTTTCTTCTTCTGGCTTGGATCATCGGTTAGTTTTGGTGAATTGTTCCACCATTTCCGATATATTTTAACATACACTACTTTGTCCATGTTCTGATGGCTGTCAATAATGGTCTTTGAGGCTTTTCGGACTATTCATTTAGCTTTTTCTTTACCTCTGTGGCCTGGTACTCAGGCTAATGTTAGTCTGTTTTGACTACCTAGCTCTGTTAAGACGTCTAAAGGGTTCTTTACAAGATTTTAGTGAACTTGCATGGAACTGAGTGCTTTTAGCGACACCTGACTATCTGCTTATGATTTTTCCATTTATCGTATGTCTTAATACCTCTTTTGCGAAGTAATGTATTGATGCTAATTGTTCCTCGAATACGGTATCACATGTTTACCTAAGCTCAGTGAAATGTTTGTGTTTGGTTGACACTATACATACCTACTCCTGCTCCTTCATGGGTTTTAGAGCCGTCGCATCAGCGTGAATATGAGGTCCTCTCGTGCACGCTTCCCAGTCTAATATACTTTATATTGTTTTGAAAACTATAATTTGGGAGCATTTCATCTAAAGGCATTTCCATTATTTGGTAGTTCTTCAACTCTTTATGTAGCTCACAGTAGTCACGCCCATACAGATTGCTTGTGTGTGATGAACCTTTGTGCAGTCTGTATGTGACGGGCCTGACTTTGCCTCGAATAACTGTCGTGGTTATAGCTTTATCATGACTTTAAGGGCTTCTGTTGAATACTCTTGAGCTATCGAATGGCATCAGCTTGCCTAGTTTTTGGCCTCTGCACCACCGACATGTTGGTTATCATAGGCCTTATGACTCTGGTATTCAGCTAGAATAGTAGTTTGTGCAACAAGAGTGGATATGGATAATCCACCCGAGTTATTTTTCTACGACCTACTAACGAAAATCTACAAATTTAAAAATTTATTTTAGGTTATTAAGACAAAATAGCTAATTTTAAAATAATTTATGAATTTTAATAATTTATATAATAAAATAAACATAAAAAAATATTAATTTAATTAGTCCCCAGCCAGGATTCGACCCCTAATTTTTTTTCAAAATGTGTACCAATTATAATTAAAATTTTTATTATTTATCGATTCTACTCAAAAATAGCTCATTTTATTGTGTATTTAAACTCAATAACCAAAAAATATACTGATAATTAGTTTGACGAAAATTTTAAAAATAATAGTAGTTGCGTGTCTAAAGCAGGGGCGGTTTCTCCATTGGTTCATTTGTGCAGTGAACACCCAGTTAAATTTCATAAAAACACATTATTTTAAAATTACATAAATAACATAAAAATATAAATTTAATTTTAATATTTTTATTTTCATACGTGTTAATCTATATTTTTTGGTACATCATTGCCCTCTGGCTGATCGCGTCTCTGTGGTATACTGTGTCTGTGGCGCATTATGATGAGTGAGTCTAACATGAGTGAGACGATTTGATGAATGCATAAAGTTAAAAAGAGAAAACAACACGCCAAAATATCCTTCAAACGTCAAAAGAACTCATTAATTGGCGCGCCGCTCACAAACTAGGTTGCCAAACCAGTGTTGCCAGTCTAGTACAATTCACAATTGTACTAGATGTAGTACATTTTGCTTGAGGCAGTGTTCACGTGTAAAATATATATATAAATATATTGTGTTCCTTGTTTGGGTTCGTTATCTATAAAAACCCTCTTTTTTCCTCTTCAATAAATTAGATGTCACTGCAAATAGAATTCGAAAAATCTGGTACATAACAAAAACATATTCTGGCAACATTGTACCAAATCAAACAAACTGTCATTCCGTCTACCTGTGGATCGTTTATATCATGCGAATTTAGAGATGAATAGTAATCCGTAAATGTACCTACTTAACACTTACAGATTTGCTAATATCCATCTCTAAATTCCAGTGTGACACCGGCACCACTTGGAACTTTAGAGACGTTGTAACCGAACTTTGATTTTAGTTCAAGGACGACTTACCCAACTCCGACTCAACTGAGTTCTGTTTATAAATATGAACCTGAATATATTTGTATCCTTGTTTACCGATATATAAAAGAAGAAAGTGAGAATACACTCAGTGAGACACGAGATCCCTTTACAAATTATACTTTTTATGGATTTTTGTGTTTCGTGAACCGAATTTTCGTTGTTTTGAGGTTGGCTGTACTGGTCTTAGGTTCTGTGTGAATTTACTAGTGCTTATGTACGATGGAATCGTATTTGGTAAAATTTATAAAAACAAATAGACATAATTTCGAAAATCGAGTGCTTACAAAAAAGAATGGCCCACCTCAATCGGAGATAAACATTGTTCAAGAATGTGCCATAAGAAATAGAAAGTTTAAACATCCTTTTAAGATTGAACAATATAAAAAAACTTCGTGGTTATGCGGGTGTGATAAACAACATGCTTTGTTTTGTTTTCCTTGTTTAGTTTTTGCAAACAATGAAAATACTAAATCAGAAGGACAAAAACGGGTGTTAGGGAATTATCTCATATTAGGTAAGCATGATTTTGCATTATTTCTATAATTTAAACTTGATGTTTCTTTCTTACACTGTATTAATCGAGGAATTAATATTTTAAATTATAACGAGCCACCACTACCTTTAATTAAAAAAATTTAATTAAATATGGGGGATTTAAGGGGGGTTGAAATTAAAATTAAAAACAAAAAATCAAAAATGAAAAGCGATATCAACATCATTTAGAATGCCTGGCATTATATATCTTTATTATAGTTTGTATTTGTGTAATAGTATGTATTGTGATGGGACTGATCTCATAAAATAAACATTTAAAACATTTTAGTTTTTATTTTATTTAAAAGTTATTATTTTAAAAGGTATTTAAAAAATATATTTTTTATTTGACATGTGTGACAAAATGTGAAAATGATTAAATTTACAATAAAAACTGAAAAATGGTAGGTAAAGTTTCATATAATATTTTTTACACAAAAATCAATGTCAAGCTTTCTACATAACCTTATATATATATTTAAAAATAATCTCAAATTATGAAGAAAAGTCAGTTAACTAATAATGTTTATAGGTGGTTTTCAATGAATTAAAAACAAAACAAATATCATACTAACTAAAATTTTCATTTATTAATAGTTATAGTGCTTGAAAATAGTATGATGTTGATAATAACTACATTTAATACAAACTCAAATAATATTAAAAACAGCGATATTGGCTCTTTTACAAAGTTTTGGGCCGAACTTACAAAAATGATCAAATTATTGGAAAAAGTGAACACCCAATTCAAATTACCACGAGCCGCCACTGGTCTAAAATATAGATAGATTAAATTTTTTTGTAGTTTTCGCACTTCCTAGAATGGATATGAAATATATTCGTTCACTTGAACGTAATAGCATACTTTTTCGTTTTGTAGATTGTGCGTAGATAAGCTAATTTCCATTTGGTTGCAGAAAAACATTTTTAGTTTTATTCCACAATTTTTTCCACACAGAATTCGACATAAGTTGAAGGATGTTCTGGTTTATCATGTGACTTTGCAAGTGTTGATTGATTTCATGTTAACATGTGGGCAAAGATGGCACCCAAGTATTGGCCTTTTGAAAAGTTGATTATTGTGGTTTTGTGACTAACTGAGAGATGCCAATGGGTGATTTTTTAGTTTTAAGCTTTAAGTTCAATTGGGTTAAGACAAAATTCCTGATACATTGATTTAGATCAGGTGCAATATAACACCAATTAAATAAAACAAAAAATTAGAATTATTCCCTTCCGTTTTTAAATCGTTATTCCCATTTGATTTAAATGTCATATCCAGGCGCGAAATAACTAATAATTACTTTCCAAAAGAAATATTTTCTCAACAAACAAAATCAAAATAAATTGATTTCACTGAGACACAAAATAACAACAAACGTATAATCATGTTCGATAAAATCAGAGAATAACAGTGGCAAGCAGTCGTTTTATTTGCTTTAACACTATTCAACCGAAACGCCCTAATAATTATTATTCACAATTTGAGGTTTGGGCAAACACTTCTCGAATGCGGTCAGTTTTGATAACTCAATAATAACAGTGACGGAGAATGGAGGCATTTTTAGAAAATAAACATATATTACTCCGCGTAAAATACTTACAAATGTTTGTTGAAATACATGAGGTGATCGTGAATATAAATTGCCTCCAAGTTAACATTTTAAAAATTCTATTTTTTTATTTCTTCTTTCTTTATTCCAACAAGACATCTCAAGTTTGCTGGTTGAAAATAGAGTTATTTATTTTTAATATTTCAATTATCGTTTAAATATTAGATGTTTAACTATAATATTCAAATTAGCCTTTATGTCTGTTTTTTTGTAATGCCTTGAAGAGTCCCTAGGCGAGAAGCGAGTGTCCCCGTTTAATCCTCTTGTTATTTGAAATGAACTATTTAATGATTTACCTCTTCCATTTTGTGACTGTGAATATGATTTCATACTAATTAATAACTTGAATAAATACGTTTTTAAAGAAAACAATACATTTTATGTTTAGGATGTAAAGCTTAATTTATAACCGCCATAACGTTACTTAAGAAGTTAACGTAAGAAGTTGAAATATTGAATTTACGTATACTTATTTATAAATGTTCGTAACGTAACCTAAGAAATTAACGTACCGTAGAAAGTTCGTCAACTTTTAACGTAACAACTAAAGACTTACTTACGGTCAGCCAATGAGATAATTCTGAGTTCAGCATGTGATAACTATCATTTCTTCTTTTTATTTTTTTTATAAATGAATGGACAAATACCTTTTGTAAACTATAATTCTCCTTTTTTATGGACATACACTATCATGAATGTTTTGTGTTTATGTTATTGGGGATCAAATATGTATGAACTGAAACAAGACACAAAACTAGTTTCTTATTATAGGTCAAAAATGTTGATGATTCGATAAACTAATCTGTTTTATCATATTTTTATATAATTGCTTCTACAGAAGTTAATATATTTTTTCTATTCCCATAACAAAATCATAATTTATGGGTTTTACTTGGAGGTTAGGTAAATAGTTTTCACTTATTTATTTCATAAGGTTGTCAGTAATTTGATAATCTCTAAAATACAACACGCATGCTTAACTCTTACGTTACGGACATTTATAAATAGACTTTATTTTTAAATCTTATGTTAAGTTTCTACGGTTATAAATTATAGTTAACAGAAAAATTTACATTACAAACTGAAAGACCTGCGGGGCAACGGTAGTTTAGTAGGTATAAAAATTACAACTTGAGGGTGGAGCCTAAATACAACAAACTTACTTCCGAGACTAAACAAAATCCGCATTCATTCATAATTTTAACAATTGCCTGTAGATACGAGGGATACATATTCTAAACTCTGCCACGGCTGCCGACTTTCATCATTGAGTGAGTCAGAGTTACCTAAATTAGGGAAACCAGAATCGTATTTGTTTTTCTTGCTGCATTGCGAGATATTGTTATAACGCAGTTCGATTTATTAGACGGTTTTACATTATTTTTATATTTTAATTTAGTGAATAGCTTTAGTTAGATTAAATTACATTTAGAAGCATAGAGTTGTGGAAGGTGGACAAAATAAAACCAATATACAAATAACGAAAAAATAGATGATTGTTTCGAATAAGGTAATATCAATTAATACAGGGTATTTATTAATTGAGTGCCGATACAACAAAATATCAAAAGCAGTTTTAATAAACTTAAAAACATTTTTTGGTTATTTTCTTACGCGAAAAGGTTGCGTCGTACGAAAGTACATTTATAAACCAATTTTGCTCCAAAATAAATAACATTTTAAAGATAATTTTGGTTTTTAGAAAAAGCAGTGGCGTACCATATTTTTCTTCAAAAATATTCAGTTCAAACCAGGTACGGATGTCACTGGTAAAAATTTTAAAAATACTTTTACGACAAAAAGGAGGGATTAAAAGTGAAAGTTTAGTCCGTTGGTACATAATATACTATATTTATATATCTAATTTTTATTATTACACTGTATGTGACATGGCTTTTTTGTTTGCCTTTTTTGGATTAACAAAATACTATTTTAATGATATAAAATAAGCTGCCAGTAATAATAATTATAATAATTATCTGTACCTAAACATATACATAGTGAAATCATAAAACGACGCATCAAGAAAGCACCAAATTATTAAACTTTTTTATTCTACGTAACAAGTATTAAAAGTAATTTTAAAAAACTGACTTCAAAATCGTGCAGATGCCATCACCACATCTTAACCAAATTTATATGGGACCACCCATGAGGTATCCCCTTACTAACAAAAAAAAATAGAATCATAGAAATCGGACAAGGTGGTAAAGAATTATCGCTAAACATACATAAAAAATTAAAAGTTTGAGGATTTTCTCATAGACTTAATTATTAGATGTTGATCAAATATAGGGCCACCCCTGAAGTACCACCTTTCCAGCAAAAAAAGAATCCTTGAAATCGGACACCGTGTTAAAGAATTATCGCTGAACATTAATAAACTGTATTAATTGTATTAACTAAAAACTACTATATGGCATTATATACATTTTTTTAAATTAATTTTATATGTAAAAATGTGGGTTCGGTTTCTAGAAGAGTACCTAGTTCACTGTACAGCCAAATTTATATTTAGGATACAGAATTTTTTAAATAAATAAAGTTGTAGGTTTAATTAAACAACAAGTTTTATCAGGAATGACATTTTCTGATAAAAGTAACAAGAAAAAGTTTTCCATATAAAAAGCAGACTGTTTGCGAGCCACTATAAATATATATTTTAGAGGGCAATCCATATTATATTGGAAAAATAAATAAAATTTTTGTGTAATCACAAAAATGTGATTTATCTTTTAGAATATTGTATATGTTTATTAAAGTTTACTATTTTTTATAAAAAAGTATTATATTTTCAAAATATTTCTTAAATTTTTTCACAGGTACAAAATACCTTAATCCGTTTATAGTTATCGATTTTAAACAAGATTAAAAAACGTTTTTCTCTTTCCATTTTCTAAAAAGAAACTAATAGAACTTTTTGAAATCGGTTTTCGATGACTTTTCCTCTGATTTATTGCCTTGAAAATGATATGATTTACAAAAAAAACAAAAAACTGACCTATTATTTTTTTGAAATAAAAATATGTTATTTTTATAATTTTCGACCGTTCGCTGTTTCTAAAAAAGAAACACGATGTTGTCAAGCAAGTTCTGCTGTAGATATTAACACATTCTGTAATTGGCTGTTTAAATTTTTTAATATTTTCATAATTTGGGAAACTGTATAACATTGAAACTCCTATACCCGAAAAATTGTTAGTAAGCTCTTAATTGTCTGTTTTTTTATCTCACAATGTCGGGTATAAGAAGTTATATAGAAAAAGTTAGTATTCAATATCATCTAGAAAAAAAACAAAAACATTTGTTTTTCCTAGAGGTTTTGGCTTTGGTAATTATATCCATTTGCCACATATAAAAACAAAAACATGTTTAAATGAATATATTAAATAAATTCTGACCATTCTTTAAGAGATATATTTATTTGTAGGTATTATGAAAATAATGTATAAACATAAGTTTGTTGACATAAGTCAACAAACTTATGTTCGATATTTGTATCAATTTGTAAAGATAACTCTTGTTTAATGATAATATTAATATTTAAAGGTTTTAAATAAGAACTTGAAGATATCACAGCTCGAAATTCCTTTTATTGACCATAATACTTTTTTTTGGAATGGAAGCATTAGTTCCCGTTTTTCAGTTAAGCTCCTTAAATCAATTCATATTTTAATCTAAACGCTATTTAGGCGCAATAAAAATGCAAAAATTAAAAAATATAGTGAACTTTTCGAAAATTTCTAAGTTAAAATGAAAATCAATTTATATTTAAAATTAAATAAGTTTGCTAAAATTTTTGACCGCAGGCTTTAGCAATAAATAAAAGATTTTAGATGTTTTACAAATTTCTCCAAATTTTAAAGCAATGACTCGTTTTCGTCTTTTATTGTGCCATAATGCACAATCGTTTTTTTCTCATCTATAGACATTGGCTTACATTTTAGAAAATCTTCTCTTGCAACGCGCCTCAAACAGTGCGACAGATCAAAGCCACGTGCGAAAAAAGAAAAATGATTTACATTACTTTAACGGATTGAAGAGTTGTTAACATGCTGGAATTAATATTATTGTTAACTCGAAGAGGTATTCATTAAACAAAAAAAATCCGTGCGATATAAAAGTTAAACAAAAACAAATTTTTATAATTCACATCTCAGTGTATACCTTTTAATTTCGGATAATTTTTTTAATAAATAAATGCTAAAATAATTTTAACATAATTGAGCGAAATTACTGTATGTAAAAAATAACAAAATTAATTCAAATCACTAAATAGTAAAAAAAGATATATATTTTGTTGGTGTTACCCTTTAGACGAAAAAGCTTACAATGTATTTCTATTTTTATTGTAAGAAAAATAAATGCTCCTGTAGGCAAAAATTAAATATATTGTTCCCTTCTAGCATTTTTTAACATTTCCATTTCTTTTCTTAAATTTTTTTCGGAAGAGACTGATTCAAATTTTTAAAGTGACTCCAGAGAGGTACGGGTTTAGCCTTTACCTGTACTTACATAAATTTTCTTTTGGTAAAAATAAAAAATAATCCGTAAACTTAATGTACTATGAACCCTTGCATATATGCCAATCCTAGTATTACAGAACTGATTTACGTAAAAAATAAGGTGTACAAATAGGTAAAATTTATTTATCCCTCGTAAAACATCAGTAAAATATATTATAAATTGTTTTCATTCACAAATATTAATTTCTTAAAAATCTAACAGAGGCGCCACTTCCCAGACGAAAAATCTTGCAATGTAAGGGTTTCGTAGTACCCCACTTTTAAAGTTTATTTTTGACTATTTTTAAAAGAAAAAAATATGTACGTGTAGGTAAAGGTTAAATCTATGCTCCTCTGGAACCACTTTTTCAAAATTCAATTTAGTTTTTTCTAAAAAAAATTGAGAAAATGGGTAAAAAAAGTCGAGTTTTGTATTTTTTTTATAAAAAACTAAATCAAATTTTGAAAAAGTGTCTCCAGAGGAGCACAGATTTAACCTTTACCTATGCGTACATATTTTTTTCTTTCAGAAAAAGTCAAAAATAAACTTTAAAAGTGGGGGTACTACGAAACCCTTGCATGCTCCGCGCTACAGCCAAGTAAATACTCCTCTTAACTCTGAAAGATTGTAAATTATTACCTATATTTTGTGCCTGTAAGGTGGTACCAGGTCCTCCACCAAAATTTTAAATCTGACTACCATAGAATATTTCATTTTAAATTGAATCTAAACAATAAAAAAGTAAATAACAAGTATAAGAATATACCAAGGCTTAGCTATTACCTGTGTTTGATCATTTACAATATTTCCATAATTATTATTAACGTCTGATTGTATTAAATAAACAGATTTTCAGTTCTCCAAAGAAACTAAATTTTAAATTAACTTCTAAAAATTAATAACTGTATCAGAACGTTCTTTAAACTAGAGGATTTAAAATTTTCCAATTTAATATAAAATTATTTAAATACATAAAATTGTTAAAATATTATTAGAAAATATTATTAGAAAATAATATTATTAGAAAATATTATTAGAAAATATTATTAGAAAATATTATTAGAAAATATTATTAGCAAATATTATCAAAAAATATTATTAGAAAATATTATTAGACACTATTAGAAAACATTATTAAACAATATTATATTAGAAAATATGATTAGAAAATATGATTTGAAAATATTATTAGAACATATTATTAGAAAATACTATTAGAAAAAATTATTAGAAAATAATATTAGAAAATGTCATTGGAAAATAATATAAGAAAATAATATAAGAAAATAATATAAGAAAATAATATTAGAAAATAATATTAAAAAACAATAGTAAAAACAATATTAAAAAATAATATTAAAAAAATAATATTAGAAAATAATATTAAAATTTATATTTAAAAATAATATAAGAAAATAATATTAGAAAATAAATAGGTATATTTATAATTTAGGTTTTTAAAATAAAAAAAAAAAACAAAAAAATATTCGACCGTGACAGGACTCGAACCTGCAATCTTCGGATTCGAAGTCCGACGCCTTATCCATTAGGCCACACGGTCCTCCTAGTTATCCTGTAAATCAACTGTAAATAAGGGCTGCTGGATCGATATTATTTCGGATTAGGGACGTTTTAATGCAGTTATCTAGATTTATTTTTCCCAAAAAAATACTTTTACGAAACATATTTGAAAGAAAATGTCAATTTTTTGGTTGTTACCTACATTAAGGATGAGGGTATATTTATTAGGCGCATCTTTAAAATCGATAAATCGGCGCACCCGCCAAATGTTTGAATGCCTTATGTAACAGAGGTCCCAAAACTATGTGTACATAAAAAATAAATCCCGATATACGTCATCAATGAGGTAATTAATTTAATAAATTGGTATTTATCTCTACACAGTCATTTAAATAAAATGAAAAATAGTATTTGAAAGCAAATTTCAAGGTCATTGTTTACGAGGGGCAGTACAATAGTAAGTAGACGCTAGAAAATTTAAATTGGTACCTAACTACTGTTTCCACAGAAATTCATTTCTCAAATACAAAATATAAGTTTAAGAATGAACATACTTGTTTTTATTTTTAATTTATAATTAAAATTAGGCAAAAAAATGTTATTAGCCGATTTTGTGTTATTAGATTCCCTTCGTTTATTAAACTTTCCATAGTGAAAGTTTGTAACTCAACTTGTTATATTTTTTTGCTTCATATTGTCTATCTAGAAACAAAGTAAGTTGATTTTCTAAACAAATAAGTACAATGTCAAGGTTATAGAAGATAATAAACCGCTGTTTGTTAAAATATTAATAACTTTATCTTGTTATAATTAAATTATTATAATCATTGATTAGTAAAACCATTTCGATTTAAACAAAGTAAACAGCAAAGTTTATTTGATAAGCAGTAGGATGCAAAAAAAATTATAAAATGATTGTGTAACAATCAAATTTATTGATAAAACTACGTTAGTTTTTACAGCTTATTTATTTGTCAATGATGCGTGTAAAGAATGAATAATTATTTACAACCATATATGTAATGTTGTCATTACTAACGTCATTGAAGGTTGGGAAGTGTCACATTACACACCTCTACTTCCCGCCCTCACTTCCCGCCCTCATTTCATCTATTCTAGATGAATATTTTTTATAATTAAAAAAAAAATAACACAGTGTTTGACAAATTTTATAATACCTATTTAATGGCAAACAATAAAAAACAACAATGATCTAAAATATAACAGACTACTTATTGATATTTATTATTCGCGAATTTAATATCCGGCTTTATCTGACATTTATTTATATTGGTGACAATTGTTTACCCCGTAATCACAGTAACAATATATTTACCTACTTGATTATTCTGAGAAAACCGCGCGCTTGGTAATTTGTCGTTAAATGTAATATTTTAGGTATGTTCAGAACAAAACAGAGATTTATTAACTTTGATCGAAATATGATGGTTGTAAATAAAATAGTATACAAACCTCGGTAGGAAGTTTCATTCCTGTCTCGCGATCATAGCTAACCTCGACGCTTCGCGTCTCGGTGATCCAACTAATCTCACGACCGGAATGAAACTCTTCCCACCTCGGTGTGTAATATACTATTTAATCTTCCTATAGATTGTCAGAATATATTTATTTTAGTGAAATTATTAAATTTTTTATAGAGTTATGTCCTACACATTTTTTAAGTAGAAAAGCAAAAAGTCAATAATAAATGATAGCCTTAAAGTCCCGTACATCCTCATTGTCGTCAGAGATAAGCAAGTCTTGCCAATATACAAAGTGTCTCATTAAGAATGGGTCACAAAACAAGTAAAGATTCTCTGATTAAAAATAAGGCAACTAAACAAAACATGCTAAGATAAAATATTACTAGTTTCCAAAATACAGGGTGTTTAGGTTTAGGTGTCACGTTAAGCGTGTCTTTGAAAATTTTTAAAAAATTCGTAATTATACATATATGAGATCTTGGCTAGTGTCTTCCAAAATCGCTCGAGTGGTTTTTGATTAAAACAAGAAAAACTGTTTTTCCACATATAACACTAAAAAACTGCTTGAGCGATTTCAACTATATTTTGTAAAATGATTTATTTTGCTAAAATGAACTTGTGTATTTTTTTTGAAATTGTTTGAATTTACAGTTTTGGCACAAAGGAAAAAAATAATTTTAATATACTCATAAATCATTTATTCATATTCATACGTATTTTTTAAAAACTTGTTAAATAATAAACTTATAAGCCTTTAATAAAAAAAACTGTGGTACTGAATAAAGCGTGTTTACAAGTATTAGAAATTAAAAATTAAAAAAAAACCGACTTCAAAAACGTGGAGATGCCATCACCACATCTTAACCAAATTTATATGGGACCACCCTTGAGGTACCCCCTTACTAACAAAAAAAGAATCATATAAATCGGACAAGGTGATAAAGCATTATCGCTAAACATACATAAAAACTGAAGACTGAGGATTTTCTCATAAACCCAATTATTAGATTTTGACCAAATTTATATGGGACTACCCCTGAAGTATCTCCTTTCTAACAAAAAAAGAATCACTAAAATCGGACACCGTGTTAAAGAATTATCGCTGAACATACATAAAAAAAATATTGCGACAGGTTGAGAACCTCCGCCTTTTTTGAAGTCGGTTAAAAATTAAATGAATAAAATCATAATATGATTTGAAATTCCCACTTTAGATATGAAGCTCTGTATAAGGTGCTGCCTCCACAATAGTATGCAGAGCGTTTAAAAATATTTTATCAAATTAAACATAAGTAACACGATTGTTGGTAAAATTTTTGCACAACGTTGCCGGTTTGCCGTTACAACTTATAATTTCAAGAAGTTTAAAAAGTTTATTTCATCGCTTTAGGTATAAGAAATAAAAACAGTGAAAATAGAAAAAGAAATAAAAAATTTAATATTTAATTGTGATTTACATTTATTTAGTTACAGGTTGGCTTCATTTTTGTTTGTTTGTTTATAATTACAAATTATAATTTTGCACAGGAAGGGCTTATAA